ATATATGTACTATTTCTAATGTATACATGTATGTATGTATATGTATATGTGTGTATATACACGCACACACACACACACACACACACATTAAAAATAGTACAAATAAGCTAACACAAATACTCCAAGTATTGCTGAAAAAAGTGAGTCATGAGTCTGCACTTGAGGAATTTGAACACAATTTGCACCATAGGATGTGTGAACACTCTATCTTTCTCCATTCCAGCCACAGCCATATCACCCTGCAGCCCAAGACTGGTTGCCCACTTAAGCTGCAGGGTTGAGCCTGGTCAGTACCTGGATGGGAAACCTCCTGGGAAAACTGTTGCTGCTGGAAGAGGTGAGGCTAGCATTGGGTGCTCACCCTGTGGTCTGTGTGGGTCCTAATGCCCCAGTATAGTGATGGGGACACTATACTGTAAAAAGCACCATCCTTCGGATGAGACGTTAAACGAGGTCCTGACTCTCTGTGGTCATTAAAAACCCCATGGCACTTCTCATAAAGAGTAGGGGTGTATCCCTGGTGTCCTGGCCAAATTCCCTCCACTGGCCCTTATCAATCACGGCCTCCTAATAATCCCCATCCACTGATATGACTCTCGCTCCTCTCCACCTGTAGCTGGTGTGTGGTGAGCGCACTGGCACCGTTGTACTGGCTGCCGTCGCATTATCCAGGTGGATGATGCACACTGGTGGTGGCTGAGGAGAAATCCCCTCATATGATTGTAAAGTGCTTTGGGTGTACAGCAATGCACAATAAAGCGCTATATATCCCTCATTCATTCATTCATTCATTCATTCATTCAACACTCAGTCCTGCTGGAGGGGTCAGCGTAATTGGGCAAGTCATGTTCCTGGGCATGGACCGTACGTAGGCAGATGTCCATTTACTGCTTTGTATGCTACAACAAGTATTTGAAACTTGATCCTGACAGGGAGAGGTAGACAGTGAAGGAAGCAGTAAGCAGTGTTATGCCAGATGAAACTGCAGAATTTTTATCAGTGCCTAAAGCGCCCTCTATTGGTGTTTGTTATAAATCACAGCTTGATTCTGCATACATTGTAATCTACAAAAATGGAGTCCCATATGTGATTTGCACCACTAGACCTGGGCTGAATAGAAAAAAAATACACTGAAATACAACTTGATATTTTACTTGATATTTGATATTAACTCTATTAACTCTATCTTTCTTCGTTCCATCCGACCACCCATTTCATGAGCATTTCCTTAGCAATTATTGCCTCTTCCTTTTGCTGCTATCTGTTCGCCCTTAGAAAAGTCTGTTCACCTGCTAGAAACCATCAAATCACTGAAATACATCAGACTATCCACCTTTTTCTCAAGTACGAGCAGGAACTGACATTTTAAACTTGAATGTAATGTAATGTTTAAGCATCTCAGCTTGTCTAACAGACATTTCTTGGATGAAGGACCATCACCTTCAACTCAACCTTGCCAAGACAGAACTGCTTGTGGTTCCAGCAAACCCATCGTTTCATCACAATTTCACAATTCAGTTAGGCACATCGCCCATAACTCCTTTAAAAACAGAAACCTTGGAGTTATGATTGATGATCAGCTGACTTTCTCAGACCACATTGCTAAAACTGCCCGGTCCTGCAGATTTGCTTTATTCAACATCAAGAAGATCAGGCCCTTTCTTTCGGAACATGCTTCACAAACAATTGTTCAAGCTCTTGTTCTGTCCAGGCTGGACTATTGCAATGCTCTCTTCTCTTGGCAGGTCTTCCAACCAGTTCTAACAAACCTTTACAATTAATCCAGAATGCGGCAGCAAGATAAATTTTTAACTAGCTGAAAAGAATGCACGTCACACCTCTGTTTATCAGTTTGCACTGGCTACCA